ATACACTAGTAAATACATACCTTTGATTTAACAAGTGGTGCCTGGGGTTACAATAGTAAATACATACCTTTGATTTAACAAGTGGTGCCTGGGGATACACTAGTAAATACATTAAAGTATCTATTCTATTTCTCTGGTTATATGCAATAGTACCTGTAAAAAAACAAAATGAAAACATTCATTGATGTAATAATTTCAAATGATTGTCATCAAATCTACTTTGTGCCTTTCAATCAACAATCAGGCAATCTAAAAAATCCAATCTAAATCCGAATCTGGCCAATAGAAAAGCCACTACCCGGTAATTCAAATTCAATCTAAAATCCACTATTCTCACATCAGTCATTTCAAAACCTACAAAATTGTTCAATTAGAAATCAATGACATCTAATCCAAAATGCAGTAATGTTCAAAAATTAAAAATGTGATGTCATGACATGGCATGGTCACTGTTGTTGACAAGTGCATGTAAAATACGTAAGATATAATGTAGATTTGATTGTTATGAAATGTCAGATATATGGCTCTGAGCAAATATCATTCGTCAATACAAAATGTCTGTCTGTCAGTCATATTGAATCTGATATGAGACATACATTTGATATTACATGTGCAATAAATATGCTCATATATGCAAATTAAAATTCACAGATTTCAAATAAAAAATAAACTTGCCTATTAAAGTATTGCCTATATGTACAGAGTTTCATTAAAAGGCGCTGAGTAGTTATTGAGATATCAATGGAAAAGCAAATATTTGGCTGATTATGCTGATTAGTATCTGGCACAAATTTCAATTTTATAACTAATAACATCTTTCGCAATGTATCTAGGCATCTATGTAACAAGTTTCAATGAATTGAGATATCAACAGAAAAAAAAAAAACACAGTTTAACATGATCATGCAGTCAAAGATGTCAGGAATATCATTCATTATAACAAAATAGGCACCAGTCAGCCATTTTGAATCCAATCTGAATCAAAGAAAGCTTAGAAAGAACTCCCATGTGCTGAGAGTATTGGAGACACATTAAATATAATTCGAAATTACTTAGCTGAAAACTAATTATGCAAATCAGAAAATTAATATGAACAGATTTGAGTGTAAAACTAATGAGGTCTGCGCAATGTAACAGAAAATCTATGTTTCCAAGTTTAATTGAAATGTGATTAGAACCAAAAAGTTATGAATTATTATGCTTATTAGGGAATTAATATGAACAGATTTTTACCCTAAACTAATTAGGTTTGTACATTGTCCTAGAGCATCTTTGTACTAATTTTCATTGAAATGGAATAATTAGTACTTTAGATATCAGTGTGAAAGCTTAAAATTGGTTAATTATGCAAATTAGGTAATTAATATGTACAGGTTTTAACCCACAATTATCCAGGTCTGTCTATTGTCCTACAGCATCCATGTACATTCATTGATATGTGATGTTTAGTACCCGAGATATCAGTGTGAAAGTTGGTTAATTATGCAAATTAGGTGATTAATATGCACAAATATTTACCAGAAACTCATTGGGTCTGCATAATTCTAGATTCATTGAAATGTGATGATTAGTACTTTAGATATCAGTAGAAAAGCTGAAAATTAATTATGCAAATTATTTATTAATATGCACAATTATTTGCCCTAAAACTAATCAGGTCTTTGCATAGTCCTAAAGG